CAAACTCTTTGCCAGGATCCTGGATCTTCTGGCGATCGCTGGCCACTTGTTGGTCCCGCGCGGCTGTACTTTGCTGTGCCAAGCGCTGTGCAAACGACATGGCTAGCTAGCTTATAGTCCCCCTTATGTAGATAGAATATGGCTTTGGGGTATATTATAATAAGATCCCCATAAAACCATATTCTATCTACTTAAGGGGGACTATAGCTATTTGGGGGTTGGATCAAGTCTTTGGGTTTAAGCTCGATGCAAGCTCCAGGACTCTGAAGCTTAGGGTAGAGGTTTCGAGCTGTAGCATTCTTTTTCGCATGCAAAGACCTCGCGTTTCATTGCGGATGCGTGGACAAAAGTGCTTGGGACTGGGAAGTGGGGTCGTGATGGAAGATTCTACAAATGCGGGTTTCCTAAAATTAGGGTTGCGATTTTGGGAGTCCCGTGATTAAAGATTGTAGTATTCTGGGGTCTATATTGGGGTCCCCTATTTTTGCAAACTACCACATGTGAACAAGTACCCACAACGAGGGCTTCACACAGGCAGAAGATTACGGCCGAAACCTAGGAACCCCGATAGTTATATATGCTTGAGCGCGTGGGAGCTGAGAGACCGGAGCTCCTGAAGTGTGTGTAAACAAGAATCCAGCAAGCCGGAAAAAAGTTTAGCCTGAGCTGGTTTGGATGGGAACGATAGACCCCAATCGTGGAATGCTATAGGAGCCTACAGAAAGGCGACTAACATGAGGTTTTTATGGTCCCTCCTCCACCACCAGAATTCTGGGAGCAACACAGGATTTACCTCATACCTTTCTGGCCCAGCGCTGTCATGCTACTGCTGTGTCGAGCCAACTTGGCTAGCAAGGCTTCTTCATGCTGGTTTCCCAAAACCCTCAAGTAGCCAACTAGTCAAAATCCGAAGCCAGAACAAACCCATAGTTGTACGCTACATCAGATCGGGATCGGAAAGGGGTCTAATTGTGAAGGCAGGACAAGCGTGGATGGCGCAGGTTTTGGGATGCTCAGTAGACGGTTTAGGATTTTTGTGGGCGCTATTGGCTATAGGACAATGAGGCCAGGCAACTTGGGTTTAGGACCGTCCTACAAAGCGCAAAGACCACACATTCCCTGAGAGCAAGAACAACTGCTACAATTCATAAGGCTCCTCATGACCAACAAGGAACGTGGATGCGCTTCAAGGTATATACAAGAATCAAGTGCCCCAGCGCTTTCTGAGTACTACTGTAGAAGCCAAATTCGAAACACGTTTCAACAATCGAGTGATCAGGGGGTACTTCCCGCGGGACTGGAGACTTTGGAATATAGGGTTGTAGGTCTTAAGAGGAATTGCAGGAAACATCTTTCTGCATGATTTCTTTCCAAACATACCCCAACATATTGTAGCCCTGTTAAACTAAGTATAGAAAATGGAATGATGCGTGCCTGTTGTCCACGCTTAAAACAGAACCAGCACCTTTAAATCGTGCCGTGAAGCCGCAAGCGTCAGCCACGAACACGGGATACCCGAAACCTATAGTCCCACTTAAGTAGATCGAATATGGCTTTGGATAAATTATAATAAGATCCCCATATGCTCCATATTCTATCTACTTAAGGGGGACTATACACCGCTGTAGATGGGCACTGCTTAAGCAGACCTCGGTGGAACCAGTGCGAACCAGTGCGCAGAAGCTGTAACCAAGACTGTCTGCGCTGAGCTCTCCAGTACCCAAAATCCAGACACAGTGAGCACACCCTGTCCCAGGACTAGGGTTTAGGGTTTAGGGTTTAGGGTACACAAAGCAAGCATGTACGGCCACCATGCCTGCCTCTTCACGAAAGTCCACGTCCTGCAAAGCCTACCCGCATCATCATACATGACCCCTATGAACCCCTACATATTTCCCAGTCTCCATTTCATTTTCTATTTGATTCTCCATTATTGGGGGATGATAACCCAAAAAAAATCCCTATATGTACTATAGTCGAAACTCCTAGTATCCCCCTTAATAGTCGCTATATTAGTCTTCTATATAACCCCCTATATAAAACCCCCTTTAAGGAGTTTAGAAATAATCCCTATATAAGCCCTCTTGAACTGAGTCTTGCTTTCCTAAACCCTAAACCCTAAACCCCAAAACCTAAACCCCCAATCCTTACCCTAAACCCTCAACACCTGCGAACCAAAGCACAAGGCCATCACTGCGAAGGGCGGCAAAGGCTGTATGGGAAGCCTGCGCATGCGTATCACAGTCTTGGATGCAGGGTACCCTAAGGGTCCAAGGACCCAAATAGGAGTGTGTTAGGGCCCAAATACTATAATATTAATGGTATGTGGGCCCTAAGGGCCTATTATTTGGGTCCTTGGACCCTTAGGGGTAGGGTTTAGGGTTTAGGGTTAGGGTTTAGGGTTTGAGGTTTGGGGTTTAGACCCCTGGCTAATAAACCCCCTCCCCTTAATAGGGATTATAATCGGGATCCTAATATGTAGGCCTTTAAAAGGAAGGGGGTTATTAATCATGGGTCTACATTATACTTAGCAGACCTCCGCAATGCTCATACACCACAATAATGAGCCTTATACCTATTGCTCTGGGTTGTAGATTCTGGGGTGTATTAAGGGTACTTGGAAGGTCTGGGTAGGTCCCAGAGTGATGGGGGCCCTCCTGCCTTTAAGGATCAGGACATCTGAAAGTCCTAAGCCCAGGGTTCCTATGGACTAAGCCGAATGTGGTGGTGTTAATACAATATTATAGTACCATATAAGCCAAAGTATAAGGTATACTTAGAGTCATGCAGGACATCCAGTATTCACCGCAGGGGCAGACCAAACACAAAGCTTCTCCCCAGTTAGAGACGCTTTTTATCACCTTAGTGATGACAATAACCGCCAGCGGCGATGCCTGGATGTGCTGAACATTTTTCAGCTGCTCCTGTACGCGGCTGCTATCGCCGCCGCGATGGGTGTTCCCCCACGTCACTACCTGGGTGTTTCATAACATGCAAGGTCCTACGTTGTGCGGTTTTCGGAACATGCTTTCTAGCCACTTTGCCAGAACTCCTCCCAAGAATACGTAATTGGTGACCCGGCCCCTATTGTGAAGCCCTAGCATCATCTGCAACGAGAAGATGACAACTTGGTTTGTATGGCAGTGTTTCCCCAAAACAAACGCTTCCCTATAACAAACCACTGGAAGATTCTCAATCGCTTCACTCAAATAACAAACACCCCCAACCCCAACGAATCTCAAACATTGTCCCACATGGGATCTGCTTATTGTGTCATGTGCTCGAGAGAGAGAGAGAGAGAGAGAGAGAAACACTTGATCTTACAGGGGTGAGGCAAGGGGTGTATTCAGCATTGGGCAGGTGATTGCGATGATGCGTACGTGTTGTCTTACTGGTGCTTAATAGGGGATTAAGGGAAGATAATCCCTAGATTATCCCTATATGACCCCTATATAATCCCCATATAACACCTGTATAATTCCCATGTACAGTTTTCCCCTATTCCCTACTAACTCCCGGTAAGTTTTGAGTCCGAGTTTCGGAGCCTGAAGCCAGAATGGCTGCGAAAGCGGCGGTAGAGCCTGAGAGCTGCCGCACGTTCCTCCCAAAGGGAAAGGGGCGGAAGGGTAGGGTTTAGGGTTTAGGGTTTGAGGTTTAGGGTTTAGGGTTTAGGGTTCAGGGTTTAGGGGTAGGGCACACGGTGTTTAGGCACCGGATTGGGAATTATGCGGCCAGGGTCTAGGATCAGGGCAGGGGAGGAAACCTGCGAATGCTTGCAGAGACCGTAACAGCAAAATCAGAAACAATGTCATCATAGCACCAGCTGTACATGCCAAGAGTTTTCATAAACAAATCAACCCTCATATCATAACAAATGTATGGGCCGCGAGGAGCGATTACGGATGTTGGTCCTGAATTATTCCAGCTGGTCCTTGGATAGGGCTTCTTGTGTAAGGTTGAAAAGAGTCTCCTACATTTTTCTCCACACCACTTCACCAACCATGTGAGAAGAGGACCTGGTCAGATCACGGAGCATGAGCTTCCAGGGTCCTGGCAAGCGATCAGTAGTTTCCTGGGTTGCTGTTACGGCACTTAATTTAAGTTACTATATTGGGGAAACCATATTAATTACTATATTATGTTATATTTATATACCCATTATGGTAATTTGAGTTAAGTTCCTTAACACCAACCCCAGTTTCTATAACGTTGAGGCTTCCATACTGCGGACCATGCTTTTGCTTTGACCAACTTTGACTGGCTTTCCGGATGATTAGGGTTTAGGGTTTAGGGTTTAGGCATGGTTACCTTAGCACCTTGGAGCAGTCTCAAGTTTAGACATGATGGCCCTTTGCCACCTCCACCCTAAACCCTAAACCCCTATCCCGAAACCCTAAACCCTAACCCCAAAAGTTAACAGCGGAACATGAGCCATCTTACCACTGACCCCTCCCCCCTGTTCCCTCAAATCCCCAGATGTCATCCGTGAATCCGAAATCTTACTCATGCCGGGGGTGGGATCACACTATGCTCTCCCCAAAATAAGAAGAAGGAGTTTCCCAAAATTAGGGGTGCCTGTTTGGGGTCCCCATAATAAGGAAAATAAAATTGTAGTCTATATGGGGGCCCCTGTATTTTGGGAATCTACCCGTGAAGCCCATGTAAGCCTCGAAAAAGGACACTACCTAGACCCCTATACTCTGCCCCTTTGTTGATACCTTACTTTATGTCTAATATTTTCTATGCACAAAACTCAGTGCCCAACAAAAGGGGTAGGGTTTGGAGGTCTGCTTGGAGGGTCAGGGGGGCTTAGTAAGTAGGTTAATAACCCCTATAACTCATGTAGTAGCCCTAATTATCCCGATTATTAACCTACTTACTAAGTCCCCTTCCCCTAAGCCCGAAACCCTAAACCCTAAGCCCTAAACCCTAAACCCTAAACTACTTACAAAGTAGGGTTTGGAGGTCTAGGTACTCTGTGCAGGGACCCAGAAAACGGCCTCAAGCGGCTTTGCACACGGCTGCTGTCGCCCCCAGACTCTAAATCTCCCCAAGTCACCACCTTAGAGTAGGGTTTAAGGTCTAGGGATTAAGGTTTAGGGATTAAGGTAACCTTAGCGTAGGGTTTAAGGTTTAGGGATTAGATTCGGGTTACGTTTTAGGGCTCAAGGTTTAGGGATTAGGGTTTAGAGTTTGGGGTGTAGGGTTTAGGTTTTATAGGGATTGCGGTGTAGGATGTTGGGCTTCGAGTTTTGGGTTGAAGGGGTGGGGTCTCCCGGGTGAAGCCATTTTCTGCGGTTTGAAGCTTCGGGTTGAGAAGCCCACATTTTAAACACTGTGTACATCAGCCAGGGATCCTAATACCTAGGCTCATATGCAGTACAGGGGCTTATACCTTGCGGCACTCTACATATATACACAGATAGATAGATAGGTAGGTAGATAGATAGATACGCATGCTACATACGTTCTGAGAATAAAGCTTGGGATTGGAACACCACAGCTGACAGAGTAATGACGTGGATAATTGTGCCAGTTCTCAAAGAGACATAGCATGACGCAAGGACATAACCATGCAGAAGAAAGAGCATGGATCTGGATTTTCTATGAGTCAACGATCCGAAATCGTATTCAAAATGCGTACCCTAAGCCCCTGAGTCCTGGGCCCTAAACGTTGGACCCCCTTAGCTTGCATGCAATGAGCCCTGAGCTTTTGGTCCGTCCACTGCGAGGTGCTTCTGTGCATGCTAAACCAACCTGAAAAGTCTCTGTCCAAATGATCCCAATCAATCTCTTCCTGGAAACCTCACAAAGATCCACAAGTTTGTGAGACCCGTTTTGCTCATCGTTTCCTGCTGGGCAGGGGACCAGTCCTAAAACCCCAACCCTTGAAATCCTAAAGCCCTTAAGCCTCAGCCTTCACACCAAAAAAACGCCTGAGCCTTTCCCAAGGGCTCTTATGTATTTCCTTTTTGGACTTGCTATGGCTTTTTGGTAAGGGATTATAATATACTACCCAAAAAGGATCTACACAGTAGGTTCTGAATAAAAATCCCCTAAGCCATAAACCTTAAACCCTAGATCCTAGACCCTAGACCCGAAACCCTAGACCCTCAACCCCAAACCCCAAACCCAGCCCTACAAGCTGTGTAGGAAAAGCAGATGTCAGGCAGGCCTTGTGCATTGATTGTGGCCTACTTGGAGCAGCTTCCATCTTCTAAAAGTTATATGGAAGGTTTCCAAAAATTAGGGGTACCTTTTTGGGGGTTCATGAGGGCTATATAGGATTTCTATTGGGATTTATAGGGTTTAGGGCTTAGGGTTTCCCAAAGTTAGGGGTCCCAAGGACCCATAATCAGGACTAGAGTATTTGGGGGTCTATGCTACGGTCCCCTTGTTTTGGGAAACTACCATATATAGAGTCCCTTCTAACGGATTCTACAGGGATCTAGAGGGTTCAGGCATATTGCTGGAATAACGGAGGAGCATGAAAAAGAAAGTGGAATATGGAATGGCAACTTGCTTCACACGCTGGTTTATAAAGATAAACGTTTCCGAGATTTAGCAACCCTTTTTGGGATCCTAAGATACATAGGGGTCGATAGTTGGGGCCCCTATCTATGGAAACCCCTGCGATGAGGCCTAGTTACTTCAAATTGGGGTTCGGTGTACTTTAGGGTCTAGGGTTTGGGGTTTAGGGTATTTGGGGATTATTCTGTAGTCGCGGAAACGTTGTGCGGGAACCATGTTGGTACTTCTTTCGTCTTCTGAAGTATCTAGACTCTAGTTGCTTCCATAACTTCTTCCGGCAGAGAGAAGGCACAGTACCGTTCCTGGCCAAATCATATCATACGGGTCAAGATACTATCATACCATGTCTGCTAACTGCCAGGGCACCGATCCGTCGTCCAGGATGGCGGCAAATGCACAGCTGGACGCACTTATCTTCCTGGTCGCGTCTGATTGGGGGATAGAGATGAAAGCTTGGCGGTGTAGGCTAGGATATGAGAGCGTACTACTTGAAAGCATCACTGCTTCTGCGACTGGACTTGCATCTCTCGAAGCATGGTATTATGTACCTAGGCCCCGTTTGACAGCGATGGCACGTCATGTATCTACATGTAAGTATGAAGATATATACACATGCACATGCACATGTACATGTACATGCGTGCGTATATAGTTATAAATATAGCTATAAATATATGAGCATATATGTATATATATATATTCACACCAAAGGACAACTCAAGTTACTGTGGATAGCCTGATTCAGTTTGAGCCCTGCCTCACATTGCGCAACTGCTCTTGAACAACGCTGCTGTCGGCGCCATAGCTGGGATAGGTTGGATGGCCCCATGTCCTTAGGAACTCAGAGCGTTCCAGGTTCTGGATTTAGCGTTGTAGCGGTGATCCTTTCCAGATTTGATGTTGATTGGGATTGCATGGGGGGTTGGGGTCTAAGCCAGCCGAAGCCGGGCGTGTTGTCCAATCTGTTTTGGGGGTTTCCCTAGGGATCCAACTATACAAATAATGCCTACCTTAGGCGCTAAAGCCTGTAAGTAGTACCAACATTGGGCTATCTGGATCCCTAGATTTTCGTCAAGGTGTGATCATGGAGGGTGCTGGTAACAGCTGAACCCTGAACCCCAAGCCCCTTGCTGCAACCTTCGATCACACCTACAGGGCGTGCGAGGCATATGTTGTATTTTGTGCTGTAGTGAGACTCCCAACCCTAGACCCTAGACCCTAAACCCTAAACTCCCCAAGTAGCCCCTATGTAGACACCAGGATCCCTTACAACCCCCATGCACCGTCGAGACATGCGCGTTTGATGTTACTTATGCCCTGTATTCCCTCAGGTCTGAGATCCCCAAACATTCCGAACCCTTCAACTTCTAAACACGAATGCCCCAACCCTAGATCCTAATCCCCTAACCCCTCAAGCCTCAACCCTAAACCCACAACCCCAAACCCCTAAACCTGAAACTTCTAAACCCTAAACCCCCAAACCCTAAACCCTTAATCCTAAACCCCAAAGCCCTAAACCCTTAATCCAACACGTGAGCCTCAACCCCAAAGTTTTCTCCAGGAGTCAGCACGGAGCCGTTGGCTCGTAGCAAGGCAAAAGCTCCACGCGAGGGTACCAGCTCCTCACGCCTGACCTTGGCTTCGATTTAAACCCTAAGCCTTAAGCCCTACGCCCTGAACCTTAACTCAAAGTCCTAAACCCTAAGCCCTTAGCCGTAAGCCCTAAACCCAGTTTGAGGATCTGGGGATTGGGTTTTTGCAGTTAGGGCCGAGGATTTCGCGTCAAGGGGTTGCGCTGCGGAGTTTTGGGACTACCTAGGGTTCAAATGCTTATAGAGCTTGAGATTTTGGGGCTGGGTCCTGAAGGTCTAGGGCTTGGGGTTTTGTGAGTTATAGCTTCAACTCCTTAAAGGGGGTTATATAAGGGGTTATATAGGGGAGTCTTTGGGGAACTTGGAACCATAGCAAAAATCATAATTTTTGCTGTTCCTTAGGATTATAATAAGCAAAAAGTAAAGATTATATCCAAGAACCCCTAAGGAGTATTATGGGGGTTATTAAGGGGAATGCCAAAAATTTAGACTCTAGCTCTTCTAGTCTGCTTACGGCCTCAGGCTGTTCGGAAAGGGTAGGAGGTTTGCAAGAAGATCTGGATGTTACAATGAAGACCCCCAAAACTGCTTAGGAATAGGCTCGCTAGTTCATAAATAAGGGAAACTTAAAATCATGCAAAGCAGAAATACTAGAAGCCAATCATTCTTCCCTTTGCGCCACGTCCGGGGCCCGAGTAGATCCTATACTTAATCCCACTAGTCTACGGAGCAAAATTGGAGCCTATTGGGATACTTGAACCTATACAGGAAAGCTCGCAAAAAGCGGGCTTCAATAGATATCCCCAATATACTACTCTCATAAACGACCCAAAATAGGGGACACCAAGGTCCTCAATACCCTGTGCTCGTGATGCCTCACCTGCCATGTGGCTGTTTGATCGTAGTTCAGAAAAGTGCTCGGAGATTGGATAGAAATCTATGTCGAGTTAGATAGTTTGGCGGGTCTGCCCGTGTACTATCGGAATTCATGAAGACTTTTTGTCAAGCAAGATGTAGGATATTCTGAACCCCATGACCCCAGCATCTTCAAGGTGTCTCGCACGATAAGCCCATCACCCTAAACCCTACAAACCTAAACCTTAAACNNAAACCCCTAAACCCTAAACACTATCTCATGGGCAGAACGCGGGATTTCCGATTTGGGACCTATGGACCTATGGCATTCCAGGCCACCTGCAAGGACTTCCAGGGACGGACAGGGTTTAGGGTTTAGGGTGAATGACAAACTGTACCTCCCTTAACAAGCTTGGAAGTTCATTATACAGAGTATAGTCAATTATAGTATACTAAGAGTATACTATAGCATATTAGAATATGGGGCTATATAAAGATAATGGATAGGAAAATAGAAACTTCTACAGTATATTGGGGTTATATTTTGGGACTTAGTAACTACTTTGACCTACTTGTCACTTCACTTCCTTGTATCGCAGTTTATTAGACTCAGCAAGGTCATTGCGATACAAGTATGCCTGTAGTCCACGCTATTACGTCCCATAAACGTCTCACCCTAAACCCTAAACCCTTTCAACAGAGCCCAAGGTACGATCGCCCCGAGCGTATCTCCATTTTGGAGGCCTGCTTGTGCCTTGGCTTCGCAGGCTCTTAACCTCCCCCCAAATTAGGGTTTAGGGTTTAGGAACCCCATATGGCCCCCCTTTGAGAGGACAGTAGTCTACCAAGGACTTCTTTTCAGTTTTGGGCGAGGGGATGTTTCTTTTGGTGGCGCCTTAATCAAACTGGGCGAGTCCGGCAGAATGCCTTCCTGACAATCAAGGCGGGATGCTGGGGTTTACATAGTTTATGCACCCAACTTCAAAGTAGCAGTCTCAAAAAGCCCAGATAACAGCTGTTCCCAAAGTTCACGCGAAGCATTACATCGAAAGGCCAAGCTTGAAAACATCGACACCGGGAGATGCATCTCTACATGCACCTTCCGATCTGGTAGTTCCCCCAAGCCGGGGACCCTGATATAGACCCCCAAATACTAGGATCCTTATTACTGGGACGCCCAAAAAGGTAATTCGAATTGTTCGGAATGCCTATCTGGAGCTACCGGCAGTTCTAGACGAGAGACACCACACACACAAGACCCCTGAGCTGGATATATATATATATAGGGGTTATAATATAGGGGTTGTTTAGGGATCATGGAAAAGAAAATGGAAACTACTATATGGAGACAAAACTCCTTTTCTCAACAACCGGCCCATTCATGGAAATCTCATGAAGCGTTGGGATATGAAGTTCCATGCAGCTCCCATGCAATATTCCCTAAGCCCTGCATAACCCCAATACAAACCCAGTATAGACCATAGGTATCCCTATACACGCCTGTATATCTTTATAAAGTGCAAGCGCGCGAATGCTGACTGAGCAGTGTCCAAGGCACCACAGTGAGGGACAGGGGCAAGACTTCTCCAGCTACGCTGATCAGCTTGCTCACGCCCGTACCTCACAGCTTAGAACTTAGGGCTTGGGGGCTGGGGTTTAGGGCGAACTGATCTGGGGTTTGTGCCGCTTTTTTAGTAGCTTAGCCTTTGGGTGGTGTGTTAGGGGCTGTGGTGGTAGGGCTGTCGTGGATGAGAGCTACAGGGTTTAAGCGTGGTCAGGTAAGTGGGTAGTGCTTCTCTGCATTCTGGTATGGCCATTGGCTTTTTCTGGGCTGCTTCCGCAGGGTGCCTTGATATTCCAGACTACTCTAGCGACCGCGGTCAATACAGAAAGGCGAAATAGCTGGAGTCGCCGGGCACAACTTGTGAAGCTTGCAGCTGTACCATCATGCCCTGACACCTGACAAACAGCCAGGAAACCCAAGCTTACACAGCTTACACCACCAATCAAATCCCATGCCCTTTCCCACGCAGCTTAGGGCTTGGGCCTCTCAATCCTGTGTGTGCGAAAGCCATCAGGCAGGCCGCAAGTCCACTGAAAGCCGTAAACTTCTGAAGAGTTGAGGGTTGAGGTTTTGGGATTCAGATGTAAATGGTTTAGGGTCTTAGAGGTTTAGTAAGTCTTAGGGGTCTAGGGTCTAGGGCAAAGCCCCAGTAGCATACCAAGATCCCTCAATGCAAGCCCGCCAAGTCAAAACCCGAATCCCCCAACTCCGTTTGGGGTTAAAACCCATGTTGGCCCTCATTCTTACCCCGTAGATCCAAATCACGGAGCCTGACCCCCCAAATCCGCGAACGTCGATTCCAAAGAACCCTGAAAGCAAGTCATCCTCTTCGCGCTTTAGGGCTCCACTTTTCGGACCATTCACCTAAAGCCTGGGAAGCCTACATTACAACCCTCGACCGCGAAAAAGCCGTCGAATCCGTGAACTCTCCCGGATTTCCTCCCAATAGCAAATATGATCGAACACTTGCTGGCATGTGCCAGTGCAGTCTAGAATGATGCTAGAGATAGCATGAACACATGGGCCCTTCGGCCCAACGTTCTGGTCAGTCAGCCCGAACCCGAAACCGGACCCCTAAACCCTCAATTCTGCACCCAAACCTAAACCCCCCAAAACCTACCCAAAGCACCACGTCCCCACAAAACCTGCAACCCCTACACAGCCATTGCATAAGCTACGTGGCACTAAGGGCCCCTACTAAGGGTTAGCCCTTAGGCACCTATAATAGGAACATAAGGAGTCCCAAAGGGTTAAGGGTCAAAGGTCCAGCTACGGCCCAAGGAGTAAACACAGTAAGGGTGGAGCTTAGGCTGCCCCAGCCCTAGAATGAGCATCCTATGACTACCATATGACCATTCTGACTGTTCCAGGAGCTGCTTTATGGGGTTGGGGTTGCAAAAGCCCACATAGGAACTACAAGTATCCCCTATAATTCTTGTATCCCCCCCCAAAAAAGCAGTATTCTACCTTCTCAAGAAAAAAAAGCACCAAGCCTTCCCCCCAAAAAAGTCTCCGGCCTAGGTCTGGCTGTGCTCTTTGTCTCAGGTCGTCGATAGTGGAGTCGAAGGCTACTTCAACGACGGACTTCCGACCACTCCTGGGCTAAAAGGAAGAGTTGAGTAGTGTTTTTTTGGTGGTTGAACCTAGTAAGATAATATTCTTTATATAAAATACTATACTCCAAAAGGAGGATAGAATCTTACTCTATATTGGGTACCATAGTATTCACGGACATCAGTCGGTCATGGGAATCAAGCGCTGAGCACTTTGGCTCCTCAAATAGTGAATAATCTAGAATAGTTATAGTCGGGCAATAATGCTTGCAAGATCATCAATGATCTTTCGACACGCTTGGGTACCATAGTATCCCCAAATAAAATACAGCTCAGTTGAGGGTTTAGACGTTAGGGTTTAGAGTTTAGGGAATATGGGGCCAGTGTTGCGGTCTAGGGTCTACTTTTTAGAGGTTAAGATCTTGCAGCCAGGAAACACGATGAAGAAGGAAACTGAAGTTAACGATGCGTAGGGAATTGATTTGTAATGTCGGGGCCTTTTTTGTTTTTGCTAAAACAGGGTTTGAGGCATGTTATACTGTGACCAATAAACTTCCCACCAGCGCACGAGTGAGCCCAGGGCCATGTGGGCTTTGAGAGAAAGGGTTACGTAGTTTAAGCTTGGGATGAAATTTTGGGGGATTGCAAATGAAGAGCTCTCGCTTCGCGTTCAGGGCTTAAGGTCAAGGCCTACAACTGGGACATTTGGTATGTGTCTAGTCAGGGAAGATTAATAATCTCAGATTATCTACGTAAGGTTGTACGCCCAAATGTAAGTGGTTACGAAGACGGTGGCACCTCCGAGTAGGGTACGTCACAGGCGGTGAACATCTCTAGTACAACCTTCATGGTCGCCTTATGACCAAGATAAACCCATTGGGTCCGAAAGGGCGATTATTTCGACAAAAACCACTACATGGGTGGGTTTAGGGTTTAGGGTTTAGGGTTCTAGCCTCATACTTACGTGGGGTCTGATGAGGTTCGGTCGGACTACAATCGGTTTGGGATGCGAACTCCAGGCCAACATATGTAAGCTAGTAAAACTGTTTCAAGGCTTCCCTGAAGCTCTTGACGGTCACTCCTTATCATGGAGACTCTGAAGGGGGACGTGTGATATTGGGAGAGCCCCATATGGACCTGGCGAGTGCTGAGGCTGCAAAATGCTTCAAACCCAGTGATGCCGGAGTGTTCTCCCTATTATTACTAGTATTTCTTAATACGAATATTGCTATTATATGACTATCATGAGTATTATTGCTATTATCACTATTATTACTATAATTGCTACTATTATTATTGTTGTTATTACTATTAATGTTATTATCTAAGCTGCATGCTGTAACTTGAAATCCCGAAATAGATCAAACGCTGGTGGTCTGTTTAACCTCCAGGGGTTCAGGATTCTGGCTGTAAGTCGAGGCGATGCTCGTTTACAATGCCGGGGGCCTAAAACCTAAAACCTCGTCTCTACGAAGGCAGTTCGGGTTCCCCATACCCAAAACCCTAGGTCTGAAGCGCTACACCCCAAGCCCTAGGTCTCAAACCTTCAAGCCCCTTAGCCTCTGTTCCAGGTTCAAGCCTATGTGAAAGCCAAGAAGGACTGAAGCCTCTATCAGGAACTATGGATGTTGGCTCCCAGCTTTACACTTCAGGCCGCCTACATATAGCCCCCTTCAAGTAAATAGATTAGGGCAATGTGGAAGATTTAAATAAGATGCCCACATACCCCACATTCTATCTACTTAAGGGGGACTATAGGCGCAAGCAAAATTAGGGATGCGCCTTGCGGGGTGATTCGGGGGTTTCCCAAAATTACGGGTACCTTACTGGTGGGGTTCTCATAATCCAGGATTATAATATTTTTTGGGTCTATATTGATTGAGGTCCCTTTATTTAGATAAAGTACCGATGAACTCAGGGCGAGGATCAACAAGGCCACAGCCACCAAAATCGACATCTTTGAATTACATGCACGGAGTCTCACGACTCTGACTTACCCCAAACCCTAAACCCCAGACCGTTACTCTTCAGCCGGCCTCTTCTGGCCACAATCTAAACATGCTTGCTAGCCATGGCCCATGGAGAGTGAGTGGTACTCCTGGGGCCCTCTTAATCTGGGAAGCTACCATATGCTAGAATCGAGGGAGGGGAACTGAGAGATCTATGCAGCAGAATACCCTGTTTGAGCGTAGAGGCTCATAACTTGCTCCTGGCTTGTAAACGCCTAAACCCGTGTTTTTTTTCAGCAACCCCTCGCCCCTTTTGATGGATTTAGGGTTTAGGGCTCAAGCGTAATGGGCTTTAACCCTAGTTTGGAGTACACACCAGAAAAAAAAAAGGGTATAGGCTTTTTAGGTATAAGTTGTTATATATAATAAGAACCCAGGAACCTAAAAAGTGTTCAAGTGTAGTACTCCAATATAGGCTTGAAAGCAGATACAGGCTCCGCCCTGCTAGGATAACAAGGATAACTTGGTAGCCCCAAATTGGCGGAACAACGATGAACCCAGGATTCCCGTAGGAGCCATGCGGTAGCCATAAAGTCCCTGCCTTTGGGTGAGGGTTACCACAGTCCTAAACCCTAAATCCTAAATCCTAAACCCTAAATCCTAAACCCACATTGTAAAAGCAGGCAGAGAAAGCCTCACTAGTCGAGGAGACCCTGATTACGCCGCCAGGCTGATATTCGTTTCATCATTTGAGTCATAGTCTAGGCTCCTACGTAGCATTCCCTTCGTAAGCCCTATATACTAGTCCACTATATATCCCTTTTTCTTTTTTCCCCTTGGAGGAGTTTAGATTATGGCTCATACCCGTGTTTAATTCCTTGAAGCATTGGTTCCCCGGTTTTGCCGTCCCCTTCTTGGCACCCAGGCCTGACAGCCTTCTTGTAACCCAAGCCTGCAACCGCGCAACTTAGTAACTTACAACAAGTTCCACACCCTCACTTAGGCCCCCAAGCCTAAAGCACGACTTACCGTGTCAAGAACTTGGGGCCTTAAAAGCGAAGTCTACACCCAACATATGCTTTGATGATCTAGTGGACAGTCTTGTATCTCTCATACGACACATGTAGGGTAGCAACTGAAATAACCCAGCAACAAAATTGATGGGACACCTCATGCACACTTCAAGTCCATGCTCGGAGCAATCTGTCTTACGTACATTAGGACACGCAACAATCATAGCCCTACCGGTTATGATGCCTTGAAAACTCTATGTCATGTCTGCGTGTTAACACATGGGCTCACATAAACCCTAACTTTATACGAGGCTATTCCATGCGCATGGATTCTTTGTCCAGCGGCTGAAGCCAAAAAAGGCGGAGAAGGCTTGAGGGCTTCAACATCTAGGCTCTACTTGGAGGGTCAGGGGGACTTAGTAATTGGGGAGTTTAGGGTTTAGGGTTTAGGGTCAGGGGGACTTAGTACTTGGGGTAATAATGGGGATAATTAGGGTTACTAAATGGGTTCTAGGGGTTATTAACCTACTTACTAAGTCCCCCTGACCCTCCAAGTACTTACTGGCGGGTAAATTAAGAATTGGGGATTACAATCCCTAAATAAATCTTTTGTAACATATCCCCTGATTCCCCACTAACCCTTTGAAGTGGGAATTCAACTACTTCAAGAAGACACAGGTTATCTGGAAGGAAGGGGTCGCCTGCTCCAGGGCCTGTTGATGGGTCTTGTTTGGGCTTAGGGTTTAGAGTTTAGGGTTTCGGCTTTGGGGGGTACACAGCTGGGGAATCTTGGATGCCAGATAGCTGATAGCTACCCACACACTCAAGCTAGAGTTGGCCCGATTTGTCGCCAAAGTTCGTCAAGCACTGCTCTTGCTCATTGTCTGCCTACTGTACTGCCGAATAGCGAGTGAAGGTATCGTACAGCAGTCCCTATAGAATGAAAGCCAGAAGCTCTTACATCGCATTTCCCCAATTCAAGCAAAGCACCAAGGGGGTGCAACCTCTGTTGTCATGTGGCCAGGAGGGGGTAGTCTCCAAATAGGGATACCCCAACTAAGCCTCGGTATATGCAGGGATTGCTCAAGGGTTTTCAGGGGATATCAGGGAATCTATGCACGTAACTTCAAAACCTCTCAATTGGGTTTCTTACAAGGCTCTGTGCGACTAGTCTATGCAGGGCATCGAAGCATAGGCCCAGCTTTATAGGGCCCATCTTTGTTTTACACGATCCCTTTTGAGTACTACATAGAAGCCACGTCAAGGTTCTACTCAGCACTGTTCTACTGCCACGAAGTTAAATCCAGTCTGCTGAGCCTAGCATATTGCAGGGTGTGAGGGTTGTCAAAATGACGGTCCCTTGTTGGCTGCCGATTACAATAGGCGCCCTAATGCTTTAGGTGCTCTAAAAAGGAACCCTAAACATTTCGACAATCCACCGAATACTAGAAATAAAGATTGAATATTGCCATAAATTTGGGGAGTAATCTTCGAATTAGAACTCCTAGCCCCTAAAACACAACCCCTGCTGCAGGATTCTACCTCAACATGGTACTTTCCACAAATCGGGATCCCACCAAATTTACCCCCAAACTCTGCTAAAATCCCCTGTATCTAGAGAGAGAGAGAGAGATTTACATATATATATATATGTATATATGGCTAACCCTAAACCCTAACCTCTAAACCCTAAACCTTTAAAACCGTCTTTGGGAAACATCGATAGCAACTTGGGCTTCCCTACGTCGCCAATCTGGTTGCGATAGAGCTTGAGCTGGTGGACAGAAATGTTCTTCCTGCAGGGAAGCTGGGAGAGACTCACCTGCGTAGTGTTTTTTTTGGTGGTTGAACCTAGTAAGATTATATTCCTTACATAAAATACTATACCCCAAAAGAAGGATATAATCTTACTCTATATTGGGTACCATAATATCCCCCAAAAAATACTACTCACCTTGAAGGGGCTTATAGGGTGTCTCTTTGGATGGGGGGATGACAGGGAGGGGTTTACGGTGTAGACTTTGGGTTTTAGGCATTTAGGGCTTGGAGTTCAAGCTTCAGGGTTTGGGGTTCAAGGTCGATTGTCTAGGATGTGGGGCTGAGGCTTGGTGACTGTTGTTGTGCCCACTTTTGAGGTCCAGATGATGTTGAAGAATCACTATTATTCATTCTGTTTTGGAGCTCAGCATCATAATCAGAAGGTATTTCCAACATGACGAGAGGCGCAAGGACAGCCCCATTGCCTGGCCTCCCCATCTTGACCCTAAAAGCCCAGCTCCTGAGCCCAAAATCATCTTTTTTAGGGTTTAGGGTTTAGGGTTTGGGGTTTAGGGTTTAGGGTTTAGGGTTTAAAACCCTCAACCCTAAACCCTAGGCCCTAAACCCTGAACCAACAACACCATGTTGAGGTCGGCTTGAGGTGGCCTATACTATAACTTTAGTTCAGCATGTGCATTACCCGCCCGCCGGATATTTCAAAAGGCAAGGCTCCCCTATCCATCCCCTGAATTAATAAAAATAATAGTAATAACAACAGTAATAACAATAGTAATAACAGTAATAACAACAAAACTTCACTAGTACAGGAACCTCCCAAGGGAACGCTAAGTTCGTCCAAATTAAGTATGACATGATCACAGGCACACCTCAAACAATCCTGTCGTTGCGGTAACACGAACACGGGAGACGGCTGCTAAACAATAAAAAGCCCTAAGCCTGAAACATTGGCTCCAGTGCTTGGATAAAATCTTGCACCAACCCATGTACCTTGTGCGTTCGAGCTTAAGATCAGAAAAAGTGCGGATCTTGAGTAGCGCCAGATTGTTGCTGAGTTTAGAGTCAAAAGACAGTTCCCGTTCGCCAGCCTTCATGGGTCCTCAGTAATCCTAACTAAGGGCAGTAAGAGGGGTAGTGGCCCTAAGCCCTAACCCCTTGAAGACTTTGGAAGCTTCCATGTTCTTTTTCCATTATCCCTCTATAATCCTACATGCCCTGATGTAAACCTAAACCCTACATCCCAAACCTTAAACCCCGAACCCTAAATCCTAGACCCTAAAACCTAAACCCTAAACCCCGAATCCTACATCCTAAGCTCTAAATCTTATAAACCCTAAGAGCCCTGAACCCGAAAAGAGAGTCGGCAGGGCAAACCAACCATCAGCAGAAAACCAGCTCGACACCTGAGGAGATATGCGACCAATGTTCGAACGCCATCCTGGGTTGGAGGCTTTATATAGGGAAAAGGATTGGGGGTTGAGGGTGTAGGGTTTAAGGCTTAGGGTTTAGGGTTTAGGTCAGGTTTAGGGTTTAGGGCTTTACTCTAAGGCCGTCTAGGGGTCCAACGACCCAAAAAGAACACACTTAGGATGTAGGAACCAATTTGTTCCCAAATGTACTGTACAGAGACATAGACCTCTTGGCTGGTGTTTAGAGAGAGACTTACGGAATGCTGGCCGATACAAGCATATCCCTGCTCTCATTGATGCCCCCCTGCACAAAAATTGAGGTGTTGAGCGTTGATTGCCAAAGAGTTGTTTTTGATTGGTGCTGGCAAGGAACGGCTTAAGGCCATGCAGTATCTCTGAGGGACATATAAGGTTCCCTTAAATTAGGACGGTTTATGAAGTCAGAAGGAAAGGACTTGGCATTTACGTAATCCCAGCAAAATCCGAAGGGCCCCTGCATCGTCCCTTCAACCTCTAGATGGCTCGATCCAACTCAATTGTTCCCAAAGTGTGTACGGTACTGAGACATGGTAGTTTCCGAAAATAGGGGACCCCAATATAGACCCCAAATACTATAGTCCTGATTATAGGGAGTCTGAGGGGCTTGATTCTGCCCGGAATCCAACCCAGTCTAACCTGCCTTCCTGGTTCCTCTTTAATGAAGGAAATTCATAGCTATATTGGGGTTATATAGGGGTTTATGGACATGAAAATTGAAACTACTACAATATATTGGGGTTATACTAATCATGTTTAACACGAAGCATCAAA